CCCCAAAACCCCAAAACCCCAAAACCCCAAAACCCCTTTTGAACATCTCAAGCTTGAGTTCTTCCCAAATCTATAAAATTTTCAAGCTTATAAAGAATTGGTGTCAACAGAGTACAGAATTTTGTTCATCCTCTCCTCAGCCTCTCTGTTCCTCTTGACCTTGTCGGCATGAGACTCGAGGTATTTGGAAAACTCATTTGACTGGTGCGAGGAATATGACACATTCTCAGTGGATTTACCCAAGCTAGTATACTCATGAGCTTGATTATGAGATCTAGATGAGAATTAGATAGGAGGAGGATGTACTTACTCATCAGGCTGCTCTGCTTCTAGGTATCTACCCACTTTCATCTGCTTTATAGAGCGTTTAGACTCAAATTTTTGGGAATATATATCAGATTGGTATTTCTCTTGTTTCACATTTTCAACCCATTTGGAAAGCTTTATGGAAGCCTTTTTGATAGGAGAATCTTCTAGCTCGTGGCTTGACTCTGCATTGAATATACCTTTATGTTCATTTTCCTTATCTTTGATCTTGAGATGAGCAATATTTGATTTATCATTTTGAGAGGCATGCACTTTCTCCTCTACTTTAGGAGGATTGAAGAAGTTAGTAGTCTGAACATCAGAGAAATTAATCTCTTCATTCTGATTCTTTTCAGTTTTCATTGGAGGAAACTGATTAGGCTCATCCATTGATTCTGAGTCGTTTAGTCCCACAGAGCCTTTAGGCGAGCTCAGCATAATATTACCATCTTCTCAAGGAGCTTCTAGTTTCTTTGACTTTACCTTTTCTTCAAAACTGATAATCCTGTTCTCTTTTTCATGTCAAGGAGTTCCTCCAAAGCTTGAAAGAATTTGATGCTCATTGATCGGATCCTTCTCTACCAAGATATTTCAATGATATTCAGCAGCTCTTTCCTGGTTTAGGAAAGGTTTAGAGAAAGACCTTGAAATACCAAACTCTTCTTTAGAGCTATTGAGAGCTTTCTTAGTTGATACCCTGCTAATCCTCTTTGATTGTAAGAGGCTGCTCCTCTTAGAACTTCTTTTAGAATCTCCTCTTTTTGAAGATTTAACGTTTTTGAGAGGTTTCTTGCTGATAGTTCCATCAAATTTCATCTTGTATCTCTTTGAAACTTCACTGCTTAAATCTGTAAGATGTGTTTTGGCGCTCAATTTCAACTGAGATGTCAATTTGAGCCACTTCTCAAAAGTATCATCTCACACCTTATACCTAGAATTATCAAAAATTGCAACGAGATCTGAGAAATTTCTTAGAACCTTCTCCAGGCCATGGGTTGGCTCATTACAACTTGACAGCTGCTTAATTATTTTAACGGATAAGGACTTTCATGCTTTCATGTTGGCTAGCTTTGTAGCATAACTATTCTTATATGAGGACTTTCCTCTACTCTTGTCTCTATTTATCATTGAAATTGTCACATTGCTTGATCTAACTGGAGTTTTATTCTCATTATTCCTAAAAATTACACTTTAGGCTACCTTTTAGATCCAACTTTGTATAATTATCCTTTTGAGGTGACAGATTTCTCGGCGTTGGACTCTCCACTAGCTAGAGAAGCTTCTCTATTGCGGGTAGCCCTGTCTTTTCGGACAGAATTTCCGTTCCTGCTACAGCTAGAACTGTTTCTGTTATCAACAGATGTCGACTGGTACTGCTGAGGATACACATACTCATTTGCTTTGTTATGGTATCTTAATATGAGAGTCCAACAACTCCTCAGATTTCATGGTAATAAAATTTAGTATTATTTTTGATTCCAATTCCCTAATTATCCAATCCTCTTCCTATGTTAGATGTATTGCTATAATTTCAAAGAAAGAGGTTTCTTTCAAGTTTTAACTAAATCCTCAAAATCAGGAAAGCTTGGAATATGTATCTCATTAATCCTACCTGTCACTATATAAATTCCTGATAATAAAGAAATCTCTATGCTTACTTTCCTGGGTTCCGCACCTACGTTTACCTAAGCTCAATGTTTCAACGAATTTGTGCATGTTTTATCAGCTTTGATAGCCGGCTCTCGGATAGTAATAGACTTGAGAGATGAACCTTCCCTATGCCATTGTTTGCAAATTTATTATCTACGAATTTATTCAATTCTTATCATAAGCATCGGGGTTTTGGGGTTTTGGGGTTTTGGGGTTTTGGGGTTTTGGGG